ATAGTTGTACTGTGAAAAAGCATTTTTTACAATTAAATCTTTTTGTGGTTTGTTTATATTTTCGTATAATCCTGACACAAAAAGCATGACACATTCTTTCGTATTCCTTATTGAATGGCAAAATGCACAATGCCGTTGGCCAAAAATATGGACCAGATATTTTATTCGTTAAGAAAAACACTTGTAACAGTAGATCCTACTAAGGATATTGCTTTTATTCATCTTTTTCACATTTTCTGGAAATCTACCTGTAGCCCCTGTACCGGTGTGTCTTCTTTAACTCTCTTTGGTTTCCTAATGCAGGAACACGGTGATCATTCAGACGGCAGTTTTATCTGCGTGATTGTTTTGTTGACACCCGGTAATTCTGTTAAGTATCGGATTTGGCTGTACTGCAAAGAAGGTCTGCTGCATATATAAAACAGGTTTGAGAAACATTTTGATTCATTTACTGTCCTGTCTCCACCTGTGTTTTTTTAATGAGTTATTATTTATGAAACTTCGCATCATTTTTTTTACTCATAAATGCCTTTTTTTTCTGGCAGCCAACAAATTAGCAGTAGATTTATACTGGCAATAATTAAGGATCTATGGATTTATGGCCAGGAACAGAAAAGATCTCAGCATGTATCCTGAGCCTGACGTAACGCAGGTACGTGTTTGACATTACAGTCTGCAAGCATCTCTTTATGCAACAAATGCAGATGATTTTTATTATTTAATTTATGTATCTCATTCCCTCAGGTCCCTATTTTACACTGCTCCCCCCCACTAATTACCAAAGGACAGCATGGTGACATTCTGACATATAAACTCCCAGCCGTCATGCTGAGTTCTTTCATGGCGTCTTTTAAATTAACGAGCTGTAATGTAGTGCAGCATGTCTGCTTAGTGGATGAAAAGGTTCACTCATTGCTATGGGGCCGTTAGTCCAAATTTAAGCCCCGCTCTGTCTTTGCAAGGCCTTTATGGTCCTGTGCTGGTTATCTGTAGGCACCACACTTTCCAGTTGTCAATAAGAAAATGGGGTTTGTGTCAGTGTGTAACTGTAACATCACCCTGGTTCTGTTTCTCGGTGTCTGTATCCTGTCCCGTTCGGGGCGTGTACCCTGTTTTATACCATGCCCTTCTTGGGTAGATTCCTCCTGGTCACCATAACCCTAAGGATCCAATGTGCTTGTTGATGATCTGTTATTAACGATGTCATTTTTAACGTCAAATTGTCCGATAAGTGTTTTTTTCAGAAGTGATTATAGTGATTTTAATGAATTTTAGTGCCTGAATGTACCTCCAACATCTCTGATCTTGGTAGACTTTAGCCACTGTTTTTCAACTAGTGGGTCGTGACCCAAAAGTGCTTTGCAGAGTGTGTGGTTAAATATATACATATACTGTATATAATATATATTTACATATATATAAATATATATACTTTTTTTTTTTTCAAATAATGGACTTTTTTGTTATTTAACGGAGCCTGGACACATTGTGCTATACTGTTACTGCACTACTTAGACCTGTGTAATATTTACTATTACTGCAATTTTTTTGGAAATAAATTTGGTTCAGGACTTTAAAAATTCGGTGTTATTCAACGACCAAGGAAACGTGGGTCCTGAGGCTGCACCAGCTGAGAAACACTGCTTTAGTACACTGCTTTAGTACACTGCTTTAAGCTATGTACTCTAGTGTAATAACTTGACATAACAACTCCCCTTTGGCTTATTGTGATTTTGGGAAGGTTATGAGGCAGATACTGACTACGAGAGCGGGATGGAGATGTCAGACCGGGGAGTTTTATCAATAAAGTACTTTATTCTAGGAAACACTAAACACAGAATGTGATCTTGTCAAGACAAGAGAGTGAAAAAATAACTTAAAAACCTTGATAACTCCAACTAACTGCTTCAACTCCAGACACATCCACCCTATAAAAACACTAACAAAGCGACTGTCTAACTGATTCTAGGATTTGTTTAAGTTGGGGGGGCAAAATTCACAGTGTTATTTGCAGAATATTATGGAACACATAGAAAGTGGCCAACCATTTCATTAGCCAATAGTATGTTATGAATCGGTGAGTGACAGGGGAGGGGACACTCAGGGGACCAATCGGCTTTCATCTGAGGCCTGTGGCCCTGCCCCTGCACCTATGATTGGTGTTACCATGCTTCCCAGCAGCTCAGGATGTTTTGAGATAGACTGCAGTTTCGTCTTGAAGCCAACACAGGTGTTTGTTTCCAAGGCCAGTTCTCCCTCTGCTAAACAAAAGCAGACAAATAAAACAGAGAAAATGAAAAATCCGCAGATAAGTTTGTGTCAAGGCACCCGCCAGTGTGCGCAGGGAATAATCATCTCTCTGTCAGGCCGACATCCAAGGCCCTTCCCAGACTGTGGATGAAGGTCTGCATTCACAGAATGTGAGTTTGGGACCCCGACCCACATTAGCGCTTAAAATGGACAAATCTGGCCGTAACTTCTGGTTATTAGGAGGAAAAAAAGAAAAAAAAATACTGGGGACAAAGTGTGTTAGAGATGAACGGCTCTAACAATAGAAATAAGAGATGGGAAATCAGCTGTAATTCATATTCCTCCGCCATGAATCCTCCCTGGATGATTAAAGTGCTGATGAGATCCCAGGAGGAATGGACTCCATGCAGGGTCATGACAAAAATCTGCTGGTGGTTAATGACCTGTGGCCAAGTCCCCGGCTAAATGAGGAACACGGTCATTTTGAACTCCAGAGTCAAAATTTGTCTAAATATAACAAATATTTACTCGCGCGGTGGAAGCCTTTACTACAGCACTATACAAAATAAACAGAAATTATTAATGTAATGAAATTTGTACCGCAGGCATTATGGAACACGTTTTAAAAAATGAAGTTGCTTCTCCTCTAAAGCTGGTGGTTTGTTTTCTCAGAGGGAATCGATTTCTGAGCCAAGGCGTGTGTGTGTGTTTGTGTGTGTGTGTGTGTGTGTGTCTTTTTTTATTTGACTGGTAGATGCATATTCTAAGAGAAGTGATTTGGTCCAGGCTTTCTTTGTAGACAGCATTAAGTGGTCTTCTCACGTCAGAATTTTCACATGTGAGCCTGGACATAGACGGTGGTGGAAGAAGACAAAACTGGTTTTTTTTCTTTTCTTTTTTTATCTGGCAGGACAGCAGGTAGCAGGAAATTGATGTGCCAGATGATTCTGTTTTGTTTTGACTTTGAATGATTCTGCCGCTAGTTTATATAGTCATCAAAACAGTAGGAGGAACTGGAATTGGGAATTATTACACAGAACGGGAAATTATTAGATTGGCTTGGTCTGGTTTTTCCTGGGATGTCTGGGACTGATAACTGTAGGCCTCCCAGGCCAGGATGGTACTGGTTCCCATCAGTCAGGCGTGGGAAGTCGTCACCACTCCTGCCAGCAGTAATTGTCTTAAGCTCGGGATGATAACTGGGGTTTTTCTGCGTATTTGTAAACCTACGGACCCTTGGGGAGAAGCACCAACACACATTATTTCGGTATAAGTCACACTTCGCCGGCCCCCCCGCCCCCCGCCGGAGTCAGTGCCTAGTCGCATATTCATGGTTGGAGTTGCCATCAGGTGTCCATATCGACAGCCTCGAATCAGCTTGGTATTCAGGCAAGAAGTCAGGAGTGACAGCCAACGATGAACTGGACACCTGCAGGTCTGTGGGGACGGATATGATAGCTGCAGCAGCCTATATAGTGATAATCGGAGTGCTTTTGGGTCGCAGGTTGGAGGAGCGTGGGTTGGGCCCTGTGAATACAGGACAGGCTGTGAGATGACAGACAAGGTGCAAAGAGGCCTGTGGAACAGAACTGGGTCGAATCGAGGCACTTCTGATGGTCGCTGTGGGAGGAACTGACAAATATAAAATGGCTGGAAAGATGGTCAGGTCGATACAGGGTTTCGATTCAGTTGGTGCTCCTTATAATCATGGAATGAAGGCTTCTGATTGGCAGTAATTACAGGGGGGCGGGACCATAGGGTTTAAATGTCCTATGGATCTCACTGTGGTAACTGGCTTATTTGTCATCCAGTTCTTGGATGGCTTAGTGGGGAGGGATTGGCGAGAGAACTGGCTAATCGTGTCTCTCGGCTCCCTGGGATAATTTAGTCACCAGCCTCGATCCCCTCCGACGGATCCCGCAGCGTCAGTTTGTTCCTGCGCCATCGAAGGGGGCTCGCTCCGGTGTCTGAACAAATGGACCCGCTGCTTTTCTGTCTGTGAAATCATGCAGGTCGATCAGACGCCGGGCTCAGCTGCTTGGCTGTGGGTTTAGGGGAAGAAAACAGCAGCAAGGAACGACATAGGGGAACGAGTTTGTATGCGTCTTCTTATCTGTTAAGAAACAGGAGGGGAAGATCCGATCAAAGAGGCAGGAGCCACAGCAGCTGCTTGGGTGGCCTCTTTTCAGTCTGGCTGCCGCGTGGCGCGGAATGTCAACATGTCATAAAGACTTTAGTCTCGCCCTACGCAAGCGCTGGATACTTCCAGAAAGGCTCACGTGCCGTGCGAGCCTTGGGGCACTTATCATGCTCCGCGCGCTCCACATCTCTTTGCTTACCCAGCTGGCGTCCGACGGCATCTCCAAGAGCGGGAAGGACGATCTGTTAAAGGTCCATTAGACGGAATAATAGGATTTGTCTCAGCCAGAGCATCGAATGCGAAAGTGGGCGATGATAAATCAATAAAGGAGTTTGTAACATGTTCCGGAATGCTGATGATTTCTCTGATCTGAAGTCTGAGGCCATTTTAGCCGCCAAAAGATGGAATTAAATGCATCATAGCCTTCAAGCGCGAAAAATTAGAACGCAACTTGGTGAAAAAATCAAATAAACGCAAAAATAACTCATAAATATTTTCTCAGATGCCCTGAGGCACGCACGCATAGTTTTCCCTCATGTTCGTCCAACAGAACATGAACCCAGCTGTGTCCACGACCTTGAATGACCTCCACATCTCTCTGTTGCTGCAGGTGTTCACCAGGTACGGGAAGTGCTACACATTCAACGCGGCAGAGGAGGGTAAGACGCTTCGCACGACGATGAAGGGCGGCACGGGCAACGGGCTAGAGATCATGTTGGATATCCAGCAGGACGAGTACCTACCGGTGTGGGGCGAAACAGGTGAGATACCCCTCCCCCCACCATGGGGGGTAACAAGGAAGAGTATAAAATGATAAAGGGAAGGAATTATCGAAAAATCAAACGAGATAGTCATCACAATCCTCATTACAATGCCGAAACCTAGAAAATGGTCAGGTATTGCACATTATATTGTCTAGCACTGCATCAATTCATGTCATTTCAAGTCATTGGGAGTCATTTTAGGTTGTGGGTCACCAATCCAGGGGCAGGTTTGTTGTTTCAGGGGCTTTCTGCCCCCCACAGATGCCTCAAAAACGAAATTAATAACTAGCTAGCAAGTAGTGTCAGAATATCACGGATAGGTAGCTGAAAATGCTGCTTCAGTATCTCCTAAATAATGAACACATTTATTTAATATTTAGTGTGGTGACTGTTTGTGGTCAGTAGGGGGCCCTCAAACCTCGGGTGCCCATACACGCACATGTTCTGCACCAGTAGCACTGTTGGGTAGGTGTCTTCAGGCCCTGATCTCCCTGCTTCCAGGATCTTGATGCTCCCCAGCTACAAGCCCCGCGCTACAAGGCCCCCGGCTTGTTTTCCTGATCTTATCTCCCGAGAGGTGCTGTCAGCTGCAAGTCAGATGGTGCTGAACATCGCTGCACACGCTATAAATCTCCCCGGAAACGAGCTTTCCTATAGATTGCATTAGGGATAGTTACTTTTTATTACTGGCAGAACGGTGATTGCTTGTCGGCCGCCTTATGCCTGATTGGAGGAGCTGGGTAAGGGTGTCTGCTAAACAAACCAATCGATAATTGGAAAAGTGATGCTAATTAGCATAATGCCATATAAGGAGTTAGGCTAGAATCAGACCGTTGACCAGTCCACCCTTGCTTTGTAAACGTGTGAATCTGGAAAATGAAAGGCAATGATACAGCCACTGTGATAAAAAGAGGAGGTGACAAGATGATGAATGCCCATGGCATTTAGGCTATTCCATGTCACTTGAGTGCTTTTTTTATTTTTCTGTAAAATTACTTATATATTTTTTTCCATTGCATTGCCTTCATGAATCATTGAACCAAGATGCTTCTCACGATACTGTGCCCTACATCAGACTCATTTTCCGTGGCATTATAAACTGCGTGGCTGAGAGAGGCACAGGTCGACGCTCTAGGGTGCTTGGAGGTGCACTCAAAATTAGGGTGAAATTTCTGTGGCAAGGGGGAGTGCCCAGAATAGTTTTTAAGTTTAAGATTAACTTGCCCTGGGGGAAATTCTTGTGCATAGAGCAGCAAGGTACCTAGAGCACAGGCAAATATACATATTAGTGCACACAGACAAAGTACAAAGACAGTAAACACAGTGCAAACAAGTACAGAGGATCCTGAGAGACAGATTATGGGAATATCACCAAAGAAAGAAAGAAAGAAGGAATGACAATGAAAGCATTGTGATAAAAATACAAAGGTTGTGGGTTCCAGTCCCAGGTAGTGCTCATAAGTTGTTGCCCCACTACTGTAAGTTGCTGTTCATGAACGCGTCAGATAAATGCATTAAATGTAAATAATAAATTCACTGCGGTATTTTGGACGGTGCTGTAAAGTGAGAACAAATTCTGCACTGGTGAAGGCACATTGGCAGCGTGTGTAGCGGCGGAGACGGGGCAGTGACCCGCCGGCTCGTTAGCCAATCAGCCCCGAGCTTGTTCCTGCTCCCTCACACCGGTCGCATGTCTGCCCGCTTGATCCACTGACTCACTGACCCATTACAGTGTTAGGCCCTTGCAGGCACCTCCAAAACACCAGTGTAGCATGTCCACTGTGAAGACCTGCGTCCTGTTCTCCAACGCGGACAGGCAGCTGACTTACCTGCTTGCCATTTAAAGCGCCGGCAGTAAACCAAACCTCCTGCTGACATAACCCGGAATATTCCAGAATGTCAGCTTAGGCCATTGATCTTGCATATTTAGACTTCCAAAAACAAGTGTGCAGTTAATTTGGATGAAAAATGCGACGATTCCCTCCGTAAAACCTCCCTTTCATTCGCAGCTCAGGTGTCGTCGGCTGCGTGAGTTCCAACAGCTGTCCTGTCAGAAGAAACATTTGTGCGTTTATGCGATGTGACTTGCAGTGTCTTTGCAGTTCACATTGTTAAGTCAGCCCGCGTTTATCGGCAAATTAAACCCAAAGTTACTCTCTTCTCTCTGACTGTTCTACTCTCAGGCTCATTTGATCAAAGAGCCTCAATTTACATTCCTCCTGTTCTATTTTTATATATTTTTTTTGTACTCTGCGTCTTATTTGTGAAATCCTACTAGGTCACCCTCCAATAAGCTTGAAGTTAGTCCATCTCATTCCTCTTCTCCATGTTTGAGCATTTTCTCTGAGGGCCAGTTTAGGGCATTTCAGGTCCAGAAATCCAAACCAAGATTTTGTTTCTGCCAACCAGTTTTTTAACTGTATCTGTGCCTGTGACTATTTATGCTCAACTGGTTG